CGTACCCTATTAAAACGCAAAAAACCGCATCTAAAATAGTATAAATAGAAGCAGAGTTCTTTACGGTAAGCCTTAATCCTAACCATCTCCCTTCAGTGGGTCGAATTTCGACACGTATATTATATAAAAACACGTGCGTATTCGAATGCAGCGTTGTGTCAAAATTTCGAAGGAATCGGTAGGAGAAAACGAACATTACATTTTTATTTATATAAATAGATAGAAGATGATCTGCTTTAGTTCATTTTCACAGAAAAGCATAATGCCTCGCAGAAAAGCAAACTTAGGGCGTCGTACTCGTAGTGCCATCTGTTGGACATAAAAGCCTTAACCTAGATTATATATTTTAATTTATATGAATGTTTAACGGAATAATATACAGCCTATGTACACCCCGAAGTTCCATTCTAAATATTGGTGAAAGAATTTTTGAAATCGGATGAGTAGTTTCGGAGATTACCTGCTGCAAACAAACTTACATACTTACAAACATTACCTCTTTATAATATTAGTATAGATTAACGCAATTTCGTGCGAATTCTTCTGTATTTTTAAGGGCGACGATAATATCACCATTTTGAACATTGGTATTTTACAGAACTACTTTATACAGACACGAAATTTAAAATTTTAACCATGTTCGGCGACTAAAGTAAAACAATCAGCGTGAAAATATAAACGTTGTTACATGGTAGTTAGAGCTTATGTATCTGATTTTAAATTAATCACATTACGCATAATACTGTGTATTATAATTAGGTTAATATGAGCCAGTTTTTACATTAATAACAATGAAAGAAAAATATATATGTAAAATTTTATTAAAAAGTTTAATTTCATACTGTAAACGAAATTTCAAATATTTAATTATGTGATTTAATACGAAATGTAATTTCATAACAAAGAACTACAACAATTGCTAACANTTTAAAAAAACCCATAAATTTTGGATGGATAGATAGATAGATAACACTTTATTGCACCAAAAAACATCCGCGCATCATTTCAGCTGGATCCGCGCTGGATCCAGCTGGATTGATGTTGGTCCAGCAAAAATCCAGCTGGATTAAAAACACTGCTGGATTGCAATCCCTAGATACGTCATAAGAATGTACTGTACACTAAGAAGGGATTTTTCGAAATTCCTCTTGCGGGGGAGAGAGAGAAACTGTTAAGGATTGCCCCGAAGACCTCCGTTTATTAAATTTCTACGTTCTAATCTTTGTTAGAACTATATTTATTGTAGCTTATATTCTGAGGTAACGTGATGACGTCAGATTTTCGGGCCTACTTTGTTAACAAGTCGGAGTGGTTTAAAAATCTACCGACTGCACAGAACGATTTTTAAACAAACTTTTAATAAATAATAAAATTATTGTCTAATTTATTAAATAAATTACATTAAACATAATACTGTTTATTATAATTAATATCTTTCCTTACGTTATTAATGACAATTTAAGAAAAATGTATCGTTAAAATAATGACAATATATCGAATTTCGACACGTATATTATATAAAAACACGTGCGTATTCGAATGCAGCGTTGTGTCAAAATTTCGAAGGAATCGGTAGGAGAAAACGAACATTACATTTTTATTTATATAAATAGATAGAAGATGATCTGCTTTAGTTCATTTTCACAGAAAAGCATAATGCCTCGCAGAAAAGCAAACTTAGGGCGTCGTACTCGTAGTGCCATCTGTTGGACATAAAAGCCTTAACCTAGATNTTGTCAGTTCGAGCAGTTTTTTTCTTGGTACATTTGCACATTTCGAAAACGTTCAAACCGAAAACTTCCGAAACAGAAGTAAAAGGTTGTAGTTTTCTAGCTAAACAAGTATCAGATAACGGTTGCATGCTGCTTAAATAATTGCCAGATATTCTTGGAGAAAATAATTAAGTATGTTTAACTATCGTTATTACAGTTATACCTTCTACAGAAATCTATCCAGTTTCTCAAACTGCTAAAATATGACAATAAATCCAGAATAATAAGTAAAATTGCTTCACATCGAAAGCAATTTTCTGTCAGCAACTTCACCAATGGGACAGAATAATTTTCAATTTGTCAATGTAGAACAGTCAAATGTGGAGAATCGAGTAAAGTTAATTTACTAAATTTGAATCATACAGAGTTGTTCTAGGCAATACAATGTACCAAACAACAACAATATCTTGCAATTGTATTCCAAAACATGTAATATTGCATTTTAGTAAAAGCAAAACACACAGTTATTAAACTTTTATAATAATTTTAATATTAATTACTTCTTTCGAGGATAGCTTTGAAGCGTGTCTGATATTTTATATCGAACTGTAGCTTCTGATACAACGTATTTCCAATATGAATAGAATAAATAGCGCAGTCTCGATAAGAAAACAATCAGGGTAATCATATCGCTTTTTACAATTGATTT